CTCTCCAAAAGTTAAATTATTTCAAACTAGTTCAAGTTCAAGAAATCGGAAGTTTAGCGGTTTGCGTCTATCAATCCTTACCTACCATCAAACAGCTGCCGTAAATCTATTTGCAAATAACTAAAAATAAGAGTACTTGTTTTTTTATAGGACGCTCAATGACGATTTTTCAACCGAATTTACTCTACTTTAAAACCCGCATTGCACAAGATCATTTAATTTACTTTATTGCAAGAGTTCTTTCACCGATGAAGAATATACTTGAATAATAAATCACTAATACAAAGTACATTTTTGGAACCGATTCGTGCTGTCAACATATGTTCGCGCTGTATTTCACTATGAACGCATATGCTTTTGCGGAACTCGATATTGCTCAACCAATCCTCCTTCAAGGTAGGTTTAAGCTAATAGTAACTCTTTATTCCTGCTGGTCATATAAAAAAACCGATAACCCTAGTTATTTAAAACCATAAAGTGTCTTAACAGTTAAAGAAGCCTTCCATCTGTCATTTTAGACCTACCAAATCTTACATATTCTAGTCTTCTGTTTACGAGTAAAAACATGAGTTGTGCATTGCAGATCTGCGGACACTACTTAGCGAGCGTATCGGACGCCGAGATTCTTCATAAATACAAATAATTACCAGATCGAGCTCTTGTGTTCTTGCCATCCTTAGCTTATAGATTATCGATTCCGTGCTGCGGTGCGTTAGCATGTGTATCACAAAAAGAATTACTGTATTCACACATATAGTTAAGAAAAATGAGCACCTATTACTTTCAATGAAGGATTTTATGTTATTACAAAGTTTGACTCGATTGATTTAATCTAATAAAAAATTTCCTCTCTTTACAAAATCATACGCAATCTATTTGATATGGTTCAGCAAGGCCACTAAAACATAGACGTATAAGTGTTAGTGAGCATAAAGTGCGACTCGTGTTAAAGGACATATATTTGCTCATGTGTTTTCAATAAGTGTGCAACGCGTTCTCTTGCCTAGCTTGATGGGCAAGCCATTCTATCCATGTTTCGAGTGTTGAGGGTACTCCGAAGACATTATAATAAGTACTTCGACTTAACTCAATTATACCTGATTTTACTTATCCGTGCGTATAATATAGTTAAGCAAAATGGTTTAGTTGTCTCCTCTCCAAAAGTTAAATTATTTCAAACTAAAATAAGATTTTTAGGACATGACATTTTTCAAGATACTATTAAACCGATTGACAGATCATTAATTTTATTGAAAAGTTTCCAGATGAAATTACTGATAAAAATCAATTACAAAGATTTTTGGGATGTCTGAACTATGTTGCTGATTTCATGAAAGATATTTGAATCGTATGTCAACCATTATTCAATAGGTTAAGCTAAAACTCTTATCCCTGGTCTAAAAAACATACCCAGTTAGTTAAAACCATAAAGTCTAAAGTTAAGAGCCTTCCTTGTCTTTTGATACCAAATCTCAATTCATTTCTTATAGTAAAAACTGATGCATCAGATATAGGCTATGGAGCTATTCTCAAACAAAAATTACCAGATCAGTCTTTTGAATCCTTAGTTAGATATCATTCTGGAGCATGTATACAAAAAAATTATTCAACTATTAAAAAAAAGAATTACTTTCAATAGTTTTATGTATTACAAAGTTTGACGATGATTTAATTAATAAAAAATTCCTTTTACAAATTGATTGTTCAGCAGCCAAAAACGTTTTAGAAAAGGACGTTAAAAATATTGTTTCAAAGCAAGTTTTTGCTAGATGGCAAGCCATCTATCATGTTTCGATTTTGAGGTTGAAGACATTAAAAGTACTTCTAACTCTTTACCTGATTTTCTTACCCGCGAGTTTTTGCAGGAAAAAGATAGAAATAAATAAAATTTTCCCTTTATCTGAAAAATTTGTTAAGCAAAATTTAATGGGCACTCCTATTAAGAATGAAATTACAAGAGAAAGCTATGGAAAAAAGACCGTGAATATTTCTTCTCAATTACCTGGCCCTTCAACAACTTAATTACCAATATCAGCTTTTGCTTCAACTACTTTTGTTACAAATAGACAAACCAATTATCATGATGCCCTTACCGGTGCATCATCATCATTCGTAATTAATTATCCTTTTGTTAATAAGGATATAGATATACCAATTACCTACATCGAAAAGGAATGTACTAAATGTTCAAATTTTTTTTGGAAGTTGCTCAAAAGTTATTTTCTTCTAATTTCCATTTCGTTCCTGAGTCACTTTCAAACAATAGAAAATTTTACGAGTTTATATCAGTTGATACAGATTCTATAATTCTGGAACATATTCATGATCCAGAAGATGTTAAAAAGGTTTTGAAGTTCAAATAAAAAGGGTTTCTCTCTCTCTGATTGGAATTAGAATCCAAACACTAAGAGAAAATTTGGTCAAGACTTTGTACCAAGTTCTTTCAACTATGAAAAAGCTTGGAATAATGCGTTTTATTAAGAAATCATAATCATACGTGGTTCATGATGATTCCACGAGGTTCAATTACCGAATTTCCTTATTGGTTTCAAGAATGGTTCCAGTATTTTAGATGTTCAATTAGAACTTTCCCAACAAAGATACTACAAGGCTTTGAGCTCTATGATAAACAATTAACCAATTTCAGTCAAGATAAGTTACTCTCATTTTCGCAGCTACTTTTGGGATTCCATGGACTTTATCCTGGAATTTTCAAATCAAACAAGTTCAACCACTGCCATTTCCTTCTATGCTGGTCAGAATTTTCAATAATAAATGGTGGAAAGATTACAACCAGATCCAAGCCTGTGTTCAAGCCGTTCAAAGATAATTCAGTTCAAAAAGACATCTACCTTTGTTGAAAAATCCAAAAAATCTAGATTTCTTAACAGACAAGAGCAAGTGGCAGGCTACCCTCGCTGCTACGAGTTTAATTGAAGAATTCAAGAGGACATTACAAGATATAAATAGTCAAGTATCGCAAGAAGACGAAGATAAAAATGAAGCCACTTCTAGCTACTCACCACTCCATGAAGACGATTGTTATGATATAAATAAGATAGATTGAAGTCTATCCAGTTTAAGTAAATATCAGATATATTAGGATATGTTCAAGTTTTTCTTATATAAATATGTAAAGTTTTTTTTTCCATATTATGCTTATTCAACCTTTGTCCATATTAGGCCATATCCAACTTTTGTCCATATTAGGCCCTATCCAACTTTTTGTTTATCCATATAGATAAGGATTATTTTATTAAGTAATAGTTATCAGGACTTTAAATCAAATGAAGTCCATACACTTCTATAAATACCTAAGTGTGTTTTGAAAAAGGGTAGAGGTTTGAGAAGAAGCGTGCTTATGCTATCTCTATCCCCTGCTCTTTCAAAAGCTTTGTACTATCTTCTCTTGTAAGTAATAAAGTTTTCTTTTGTATAAATATCGTTTTAACTCTGTTTTATTTTAAATTACTTTGATTAAATTATTATTTTGTTTTAGTTAATTGATTTGATTATTTATACTTATGTGTATCATATTACTTTGCGCGGACTCTATTCTCCTTTCCATTTCATTTTAACAATTACTCGTATTTCACAATTAAAACTAAATATACATCTCTTCCTTCGTTCCTCCACACTTTCAGTTAGCTCCCTTCTAGTATCAGATCCTAATCTTTATAGGTTGCAGGGGTAAAGTTATTAATTATTTACGGATTACATATTGGGAATAAGATATAGAAATCTACGAGTTACTATTTCATCTGTATAGTTTTTCTAGTTATAATTTGAATTCTTACTTTTTTTTAAATTACAATGTTTCTAATTTCAAGTCTACTTAGTATTATATCTAATGTTATTATAATAAATAATTTTAATAATAATGTAATCATTGTTTTTCTAATAACTAGTAATAATAGTATAGTTGCTGATAATTATAATTAATAACTAACTTTAAATAATCAAAACTATGTAGTTTTTTACTTGGACTTAATTTAACGAACATTAAAATAACAAACATTAAAATAACGTCACTTTCGTGTAGAGTTTTAATTTCATACAAAGTTTTAACATTAATTTTATTATTAAAAAAAGAAATTATTAATAATTTTTATATAAATTATTAAAAAGAAAAATTATTTAATAATTTTTATATAAAATTATTTAATATTTTATTAAAAAAATTATAATACTTTGATTTCAATATTTAATTTAGGAGTTGTATTCTGTAATTTTATTACTAGTTATTGTAATTATGCTTATTGGATAATGTTTCAACTTTTTTGTATCATTTACTGAATTTTCAACAAGTTATAATATTATAAAAAATTTCATTGTATTTTGAAGAAATGCGTATCAATATAGCAGGAAGTTATGCTCACATTCGTAGGCTGCCATTTAATTGTTTAACTGGAATTTGAAACTCCATAATCAGAACCAGAATCGAAACTTACATCAAATAGAAACCAAAAAACTGAATTCGGAACTGATACCGGATTATAGTTCAGTTCTGATTCCACAAGTATATTTTATTAAAAAATTATTAATATTTATTAATTAATTTAGTATTGTATTGTAATTTTATACTATTATTGTAATTATCTTATTGATAATTTTTCAATTATTGTATATTATAATTTTAGTTTAATATTTAAAATTCATTTGATTTGAAGAAATGGTATCAATAAAGAGAATAGTGCATTAATTTTTAACTGGAATTGAAACTCAAATCAGAACCAGAATCGAGGAACTACAATCAAAGAACCAAAAAACTGAATCGGAACTGAACCGGATTATAGTTCAGTTCTGATTCCAAAGTCATTTGATTTCAATGCTATTTTCAAATTTGAAAAGAACCGGAATATGATTCTGGTTCAGGTTGTTATCGAGGACTTTACCAAAACCAAACCGCACAGCCCTTGGTACGGATAATATTGCTTGTTTTTTCTATTCTTTTTCCGTTTATAGTCATTTTGCGACCTAAAAAGTTATTTAAAAACAAAAGAACAAAAGGTTGATAGTCAACGGGGAAACATGCCCGCCATATTTTTGGAATCAATCTCTCCACCGTCATTACCGCCTTCGCCCCCCAAAAATGGTTCTAACATTACTCACGAGCTCCGTTATATTCCCTTTGAGAGACCAACACGAGCTCCTCCCACCTTGAACATTTCTCAGCTAACTAACCACTCCCAGATCTCTGTACTATATGATAAACTAGTAAATTCGAGTACATATGCTTCAATTCTCGATTCTTATAAATGCCCGAAATTAGGGAAACAAGTTCATGCGCATGTTATCAGAACTGGGTTCCATCGCCATGAGTTTATACAGACCAAGTTGCTTCAAATGTATGCGAGGTGCGGTTGTTTGGAATATGCAGATTTGTTGTTTGATAAAATGCCTGTTAGAAACCTGTACTCTTGGTTGGCCATTCTTACTCTGTATTTGGATCAGGGGATATTCGAGGAAGCTTTTGCTGTTTTTCAAGAATTACTATTTGAAGATATTAAATTTGAATTCTTTTTGTTTCCTGTAGTCCTAAATATATGTAGTGGTCTTGGCTCAGTAGAATTAGGAAGGCAATTACATGGGATGGTAATGAAATATGAATTCTTTTCAAATATTTATGTGGGTAATGCTTTAATTGATATGTATGGCAAATGTGGGAGCTTATGTGAAGCCAAGAAAGTCTTAGCAATTATGCCTCGTGCTGATAGGGTGTCGTGGAATTCAGTTATTACGGCTTGTGCTGCTAATGGAATGGTTTATGAGGCATTGAAGTTTTTGGAGGAAATGAAAAATTCGGATAATTCAATGCCAAATCTTATTTCTTGGAGTGCAGTTATAGGAGGGTTTGCACAGAATGGTTATGATGAGGAAGTCATAGAGTTGCTATTCAGAATGCAAGCAGAAGGGAATGAACCAAATGCGCGAACTCTGGCAAGTGTTCTTCCTGCTTGTGCTAGATTACAAAAGCTCAGCCTTGGTAAAATATTACATGGCTATATAATGAGACATGGATTTATGTCTAACCCTTATGTTGTGAATGGACTAGTGGATATATATCGGAGGTGTGGTAATATGGATAATGCATATAAGATCTTTTCGAAGTTTTCTATGAAAAATGGAGTCTCTTTTAACACGATGATTGTTGGTTATTGTGAAAGTGGTGATGTCTCCAAGGCAAAGGAGCTCTTTGATAATATGGAGCTTATAGGGGTAAAAAGGGACTTAATTTCATGGAACTCGATGATTTCAGGATATGCAGATAACTTCCTGTTTGATGAAGCTTTGAATATGTTTCAGGATTTGCTAAAAGTAGAAGGGATACAACCAGATTCTTTTACGTTAGGGAGTGTTTTGACTGTTTGTGCTGATATGGCATATTTGAGGCAAGGAAGGCAGATACATTCTCATGCCATTGTTAAGGGCTTGCAATCTAATACCTTTGTTGGTGGAGCTCTGGTAGAAATGTACTCTAAGTGCGACGACCTACATGCTGCTCAGATGGCTTTTGATGAGGTGATTGAAAGGGATACTCCAACATGGAATGTTCTGATATCTGGTTATGCCCGTTTCAACCAGATTGGAAGAATTCAAAACCTGCTTCAGAAAATGAGAGAGGATGGTTATGAGCCAAACATATATACATGGAATGGCATTCTTGCAGCTTATGTCGAAAATGGCCACCTAGACATAGCTATGCAGTTATTCTACGAAATTCAGACTTCAAATACTAGGCCTGATATTTACACGGTCGGAATTATTCTAGCTGCTTGCTCAAAATTGGCCACACTTGAGCGAGGGAAACAAGTTCATGCACACTCAATCCGATGGAGTTATGAGTCCAATGTACATATAGGAGCAGCCCTTTTGGATATGTATGCAAAATGTGGAAGTATAAGGTACGCTCAGTTGGTTTATAACAGGATCTCATACCCTAATTTGGTGTGCCACAATGCTATGCTTACTGCATATGCAATGCATGGACATGGAGAAGAGGGAATAGCCCTGTTTCGAAGAATGCTGGCTGCTGGTCTCCAACCAGACCATGTGACTTTCCTATCTGTTCTTTCTTCATGTGTTCATGCTGGATCAGTTGAGACAGGCTATGACTTCTTCAATTTGATGGGATTTTATACTGTGAAACCTGCATTAAAGCACTATACTTCAATGGTCGATCTCCTCAGCCGTTCAGGACAGCTCCATGAAGCTTACGAGCTTATTAAGAAAATGCCAATGGAACCTGACTCAGTTTTGTGGGGTGCTTTACTTGGTGGATGTGTTATTCATGGTAACGTTGAGCTGGGTCAAATAGCAGCAGAGAAGCTCATAGAGTTGGAACCAAATAACACTGGGAATTATGTCTTATTGGGTAATTTGTATGCTTATGCAAGGAGATGGTCTGATCTAGCAACAATAAGACAGATGGTTAAGGATAGAGGATTGCACAAGAGCCCTGGATGTAGTTGGGTTGAGGACAAGGAGGAAATCCATTCCTTTGTTGCTTGGGATAGAACCCATAAGAGAACAGAAGAGATTTACACTACTTTAAATAACTTAACCTTCCACATGAAAACAAGGACTGTAGCTTACTAGCTCTAGATTAAACATGCCAGTAGTGAATACTTGGTTTGTATTATTTTGTACACAAGATCGCATTTACCCATTATTTGGTATGGATGAATTTGAAAAATATAATCCACAAAATTGAATTGGTAATCTAAAATAATTGAAGTATAGGTGCTTAATAGAGAGGATGTGACAAGGCATTCTCAGTGGCCCAGATTGTAATTGAGCATTTAAGAAAAAGTAAGCATTAAAGATGCGCATCAGAAAGCAAGAACCTTTCGACCAAATAATCCGGCTTATTTGATCATAACCAATCAAATCCGGACGCATTTAGCCAGTTCAATCGGCTCATTTGAGATGTTGATAAATAGATTTCGGGTGGAATTGGAGTACAATGTGGAGTGATTACCGCGATCCGTTCACGTAACAGATTTAGATTGTTTTTCTGATTGATCCAAATGCTATCTTTGGAATCAAACTTCCGTTTTGTTTCAGACATGAGTTTCAACCCATACTTGTGTAATTCCGAGTATACTTTTCTACTCTCTGTACTATATATATAAAAAATGAGAATGAGAGTGGAATACCCTATAATAATTTTAGTGAAATTTAAAATTTCTAAAATATCTTTTTGGATAATCGATAATAATTGAGTTTATTAAAAAATATGAGTTTTTTAAAAATTGATAAATTATAATATTAAATTATTAATCAATTGAATTTTTTTAATATTATTTATTTATTAATTAATTAAAAATTTTACATTTGATTAAATCGCGGTTATATTCGATTATTTCTCAATTTCACAGTGAATTAATTACTAAATCAATCAACAATTATATTATCTTTAATGGTATCCATGAATATTTGTTTAAACTTTAATTTTTATAATATATGTAATTATTTATTTTGTTGCAAAATTAGACTATGTCTCTAATTTTTTCTTTTAGCACTTGTGTAAATTAAATTATCATATAAAACAATATAATATTTCAAATATATAAGAAAAAACCATAAAAAAATAATTGAAGAATTTTTAATACCAAAATAAATTTATTTTCTCAAAGATGTAGTGGTTGGATATTTAATATAACAAATGATATTTTCTTTTAAAAGAAAAACAATATGTGCATATTATTTTTTTAATAAACATATATATGATAATGAGACATTCAAAAATTGTTAAATTTTATTTTATAAATTTATTTTTTAAATATTTGATCCTATTTATATTATAATTTAAAATATTTTATTTAGGGGAGAGATAAAAAAGAAAATTTTTATAACAAATTTTCAAATAAAATATACATAATTAAGCCTTTTAAAATTTTAATATTAATATTTCAACAAATATATAAGTAATAAAACCATAAAAAAATAATGCAAAGAAGTTTTAATAACCAAAATAAATTTATTTCTCATAACCGAATATGTAGGTGGTTGAGGATATATTAATAATAAACAAATAGATGTAATTTTCTTTTAAAAGCGAATAAATAAACCTAAAATTTAGATCCAGGTGTGCATATCTATTTTTCTTCTCAACTCATTAAAAGTCAGTCTACGCATACTATATATTGATATATTTGAGACCATTCATAAGACAAATAATGGTTCGTTACCTTAACCCTAGCTTTCTCATTCTGTAACTACACACGGTTTATTTTTTCTTAGTATCATATCGACTCAAGTGAGATATACGCTCTCGCTGCACTTATGTTAGCCCATAATATATCTGTGATCGAAGTTTTAGAATCATAAGTAACTTTCAATATCTTTAGCGGGAGCTTTATAGATAACACATAAAACGGGACGAATACAAACATTTGCGGAGTATCAACAATATCTTTCAATACATAAACGAGTCATCAATAATTTAAGCCTCTTTTAAAATCTCTTTTTAATTTTTACTTTTTAAAATTTAATTTTATTGACAATTATGCATTAACCGTCTCTATTGCAGAGCCACACCTATCACATATCCCGTGTATTCCACTCCTATGGCAACCCAAAATACCTCACGGCAGAGCTAATGGTCCCTATATAGAGTAAATCTTCTAAACGGCTGTGACTCCGTAACAGACGAGGCCTCTCCACTAACTCGAATAGAGAGCCGAGATCTCGGCTAGGATGACGTACCAGAATAAAAAATTGTCTCTATAGATCTCTACCTCAGTCCTGAGATTGCTCACAACTTCTCAATGCTGCTACGTCTATGTCGACGAAGTTATTCAATCTCCTCCATCCGTAACTTTTAATTATAGCCCATTGCTCTCGCAATAGAATACTTAAATCTATTTGATCCCCTACAACTCATATCCTTAGAGTCTCATAATTCGTTAAATAAATTTCTGCTAGCGCAACTCCGTCAGACCCGTAATGTACGTTGAATCCACGGATTGATCCGCCATAAGATGAATTAACCGAATCTCGTCGAATATTAAGATGGTACATAGCGCATCGCTATCATTATCAGTAAGATGAGACTCTCAGCGTGGCAGCGGACTAGAGCGCAAGATGAGAGCTCTAAACTTACTATCCATACTCTCTGCACTCATCAATCGCTCATTCACATAATGAATGGCGGCTGCGCCCTGTCACACATCTCAGCGAAGAATCGCTCAGGAGCTGAGACTGCATCTGTCGGTCACGAATCGCGATATCAGCCACTTCAATCCTCCAAATCGAACTGCTACGACTTATACCAGTCTACGTGGTAATGCTACCAGTACGGTGGTCATAGTCTGTAGAAGACTCTTCCGTGTACATATACTCCACAGCTGCAGATCGTCGACGGATACCCTCTAGAGTAGCGGCTGAAGTCTACATGCGCTGCTTCACTTATTATGAATAAATAGCATATCCAGCTTGTGGTCACTGAACTGTCTACTTCTCAAGTGACCACGGTCGATCTCATCATCTCATGAGTCCATCTCAACTCAATACGCTTATCGATACGTGTGACGCGACATACTTTGTAATTACTCTAGAACTAGCCCACTCGAGGAAAAGCATACAAATTTATCTATTCATGGGTCCAAGTGTGTGTATTGCCTTGATGCTCATTCGATAAACATATACCAGCTTCAATGATCCACCTGATCTAGCTATCAGTGGCTTATGGCGAAGATCCTCATCAATGACTATATGAAGGTACACCTAAATCTACCTGTGAAGAGAGTTTACACAACGGTAAAGTCCTGATCGTGTCTGTAATCTTTAACGTCACAAGACATCTCAGCGAATTTAAAGAATAATCATAAGTCGTGAATAGCTTTCGCACGACACACAAAGAGTCGTGTGTAACTTTGGATCCAATATCATCAGCTTTCCTAGTTATACCGACTCTAGTTATTACTGACTCACGCAGCCTCACAGCTTCTACGATAGCTTCCTTCAGTCCCGTGTTGCAGATAGTATCATGCTTATACGGCCAATGAGTACTCGCTCCTCTATGTAATCTGTAAGTCGTTCATCAGCCATTCATCTATAATCCTTATTCAACCCACAACTGCGGCTTACACAAATATCAACAAATCGACGTTGGAAATTAGTAAAGTGTTGGCGTCACTGAACCCACCCAATGGAGCCGTCCTCCACGATGGCCCCATCCTTCTCATAACCGTCGTGCTACATAGGAGTCGATCCCCCATCGTCGGGCCCAATCGGGTCTCAATCCCTCACTTGACCAGCCCTCTCCATGTGTTTTTCCATTCTCTCTTTTAACTTTTCCATACCCATCAGAAGGGCTCACCCGTAGGGGTTTATCCATATATATCGCATATTCATATCATTCATAGGTGCACCACGGGGAGCGTACGACGCGCGCACGACTCCCCATACGGCCATACGTCCTCGATAGCACACCCGTTCCACAAAACCACATCGGTGAGCCCACTTCATCCCAACTCACACATTACAAGGCCATTTAAGCATCCCTATCACAGACAAAAAACACACCCCACCCCCCCAAACAATTAACGTCACAACGTATCTGCCCAATTAAACCTGCAAGCCCATATAGCAAGTGAGACAATCTACATTTAACATGATGCAAATGCAACCAATTAGGAATCATTTTCATAGTTTAATTTATAAATTAAATTAAGAAATAGACGATCCAACAACATACGTATTTAAATATGTTGATCTATCGAAGATAAAAATAAATATTAATGAAATAACTAAATGAAATACAATAATGAATAATAATAATAATAATAATAATTAAATTAATAAAAATAACTAACAAACAACTTTATTTTGATCAAGGTTAAAGAACTAAATCTAATAAATCAATTAAGTTTAATTATTTGATTTAAAAAACTAACCTTAGCTTCTATCGAAATTTCGTAGCAACCCCACTAGCAAAATTTTTGATTCAAAAAACCATAATCAATTAAACAAAATTTTCTCAACATGGTCATCCATCGAGCGCAATTCACACTCAACTCATAATTTGATCAAACCATAATTCAATAACAAATTTTCAATGGTCATCCATCGAGCAATTCACATCAACTCATCCCATCCGCCATAACCATAAATTTACAAACCAATTTCAATAATATCCATATAAGATTATGTAATAAATCATAAGTTAACTAAATTAATGGCTTTATGGTAACTAATTTGTTAAGCGGTTAAAACTTACTTTAACAATAACTAATTATAACTACTACCTATTTAAATTCGATTTTTATGTCAATATGGAAAGTGGTTAGGCCTCCCAAACCTTAATTTATTAAAATTTCGCCTCTAACAGTTAACCGACTAAAACTCTCTTACTTTTCTTATACACAACCAACTAGTTTCAGACTCATGATCTTCTAATTCACTAGTTAACTAATTCTAATTTATCTTCCTCCTCAAATTACCTAATTACAATAATAATTCATGTAGTTTATTTAAAATGTTCAAAATTTATTTGCAATTACATTATACCAGTTAACGAATTCCTAGCAAGGATTATATTTAATCAATATTTATTTGAATTCAATCAAATCAATTTCTAGTTTTAAAATCGAAATTTATAGCACAAATCGGGAAATAGGTCTTAGGGCCTACCGATCAAGATTCTGGTTACGATTCCAGAATTCATGCTAGGAGAGGAAGATTCTGCCTCTTGGTGCTTTGCCGGAGTATC